AATCATAGGGCCTCCCTGGCAAGTGCGAGGTCCTGAGTTTGATCCCCAATATCAAAAAAAAAATCATAAAAGAGCAGAGCCATGTGCACCATATGAGCCTGGCATCCTGACTCTTGTGCAGTAAAGAGGAAAAATAATAGATATTTTTATTTCTTGAAATTGCTTTATAATTGAGCTTTGAAAAGAAAGATACAAAACCAATTAAAAGGGTTCTCTGCATAGGCAGGGGCTGGAGCATGAAGACAGAACACCAAAATGATTACTTGGAACAAGTGAAAGAACCGAAATCTGATTTGTAATTTTATATCACAAGCTATTATAAGGACTATCTTTTTATATTTTTATATTATGAGCCATGTAAATATACTGCCTATTAAAATTTAAAATAAATATGAAGAACAAGTGACTCAGCAACCTGGTGCGATTCCTTAGGGGAAGAAGGGAAGCTGCTGAGAAAAAGATATAGATTCAAACTTGGGCCGCTACAGAAGCAGTGCAGAAAGGAGCGGAGGGCAGCTGTGGGACAGTTCTTTTTTTTGGTACCGGAGATCGAACTCCGGTCTTTGCACTTGCCCAGCAGGCGGCGAAACCACTGAGCTAAATCCCTGGCCCTTGTGGGACAGTTCTTACAGCACCAAGGCGGTTCTCTCAGCCCCACCTCTCCCTACCCTGCAGTAGGAGAAAGCCCTCCCCAGCCCCCCAGGCCCGAGGCTCCCCTACTTCGCCCGGTCGGACCAGCAGGCGCCCCATCAGCAGGGCACTTGGCGCACTGCCTTCCAGCCAGGTACCCTCTGCCCACGCAAGGTCGCTCCTAGAGAGCAGGCACTGTCACAGTCAACTCTGCAGCCCCAACAGCCACCCTGAGCTTTCTATTAACAGGAATCAAGTGCTTTTCAGAGTGACTTTAAAGATCTGTCAGCCAAGTGTCACCTTCCTGAGGACCTACTGTGGTATTCAGCTCAAGATTTCCTCTTACAAACCCCTCTACATTGCTGGTGGGAATGGAAACTAGTACAACCACTCTGGAAATCAGTATGGAGAGTCCTCAAAACCCTAAAACAAGAAATTCCATTCAATCCAGCTAGTCCCCTTCTAGGTATCTTCCCAAGAGTTAAAAAGACATCATATTTCAGTGACACATGCACACCCATGTTTATGGCAGCACAATTCACAATCACTAAATCTTGGAAGCAGCCTGTGTGTCTATCACCAGAATAATGGATAAAGAAAATGTGGTATTTACACGTAATGGAGTACTACTGTCATAGAGAATGATAAACTACAGCTGGGGATTTAGCTCAGTGGTTTCACCGCCTACTGCACAAGCACAGAGTTCAATCCCTGGTACCAAAAAAAAAAGAATGATAAACTAGGGGCCGGGGATTTAGCTCAGTGGTTCTGCTGCCTGCCTCACAAGTGCAAGGTCCCGAGTTCAATCCCCGGTACCAAAAAAAAAAATGAAAAACTTCAGTCATTTCTGGAAAATGGATGTACCTTGAGACTATAATGTTAAACGAAATAAATCAGACACACAAGCTTATATGATTTTTCTGAGAAACCCAAAATATAAATAAAAAGCAAACTAAAAGATAATAAATAGAGAGAAAATGTTTTTTTTTTTTCATACTGGGAATTGAACTCAGGACCTTGAGCTTGCCAAGCAGATGCGGCGCCACTGAGCTATATCCCCAGCCCGGGAGATCTTTTGCGAAAGGGAAGAAGATGAAGAGATAGAAGGAGGGGATAGAGTGGAGAGGCAAAGAGATAAAGAACTGAGATGTGTTTCATACGTGTACCAACTCCCCACAAGGAATGTGATCATTATGCAATATAACATACACTAATAAAAAATAAAAATTGGAAAAAAAAATGTCCTCATATAGCAGGCATGGTGGCACACGCCTATAATTCCACTGCTCTGGGAGACTGAAACAGGAGGATCATAAGTTCAAGGCCAGCCCAGGCAACTTAGTAACTTAACAAGATTCTGTAGTTCAGGCTGGCCTTCAACTCACTATGTAGCCCAGGCTGGCCTCAAACTCAAAGCAATCCTCCTGGCTCAGCCTCCAAAGTGCTGGGATTACAGGCACATGCCACTACGCCCAGCTTCAAAATAAAATAATCATAAAAGGGCTGGGGATGTACCCCAGTGCAAAAGCCCTGGGCCCAGGTCTAATCCTCAGTACTGTTAAAAAAAAAAAGGAAAAAGAAAAAGATTTTTCCTCATAAAAATAGTACAAAATGTTCAGGCCTCAAAAGTTTAAGTATCAAGCTGATCATGATGGCACCCACACATGATCCCACCACTTGGGAAGTTTAGGCAGGAGGACTGTTGTTTGAGGCCAGCTTGGACTCCAAGGCAAGTTCAAGGCCAGCCTGAGCAAGACCCTGTCTCAACGGTCGCCCCCATGTAAAGATCTACTGTACATCCTAACAGAGGACTAGGCCCTCCATCAGCTGTGATTTAACCCCACCTCAGCCCCGGTAGGCTGAAATATGGTATGTCAGACCTCAGAATGCTGATACTGCTTAACAGCTCAACTACTTTGGCTCAGGACCTGTTCTACAAAAGGTCGTTGCAATATATCATAAGATAATATGCAAAAGTAACAACTATCACAGAGCTTAAAAATCTAATAGATAAGGTAAATATGCTTTTTCATTTCAGTATTAGAGAGCAAACACAGGGCCTCATGCACATTAGCAAGAACTCTACCACTGAGCCACAACTCCAGTCCTAAATATGCATTTAAGAATATAAGATTTTGGGCCAGGGATTTAGCTCAGTGGCACCTCGCCTGCCTCGAAAGTGCAAGGTCCTGAATTCAATCCCCAGTACCAACAAAAAAGGAGTAAGATTCTGGGGGAAAAAGGCAAGTGAACATGTGTGGGAAAAAAATCAGAATAAATCAAAATGCTGACT